CAAGGTGTTTTTTTAAACGAAACATTTCTGTCAATCATTTATAAGATAGATCAGATGTAGACCCCCCCCCCTCCCCATCTATGTATTAAGTTGTATTTTGCTTCAAATAAAAAGCAACAATAAAAATCAAGCACCCCAGGCTCCACAACAACATTCATCTGGTCAGTAATCCAAGCAGCCCTGCGGGAATTCCAGAAAAAGAGAGCCATGATGATATTTTAAATACTTTGCTAAATACGCCCATGAGACTATTGGGTTGTTATCCTACGTTAAATTTACCATCTACCAGCCATATGTGCGGCCATTTGCGGACCATAAATGGAAGCGAAGCGACGCAATGGAAATATCACAGGTGTTAAGACTCCATTTCAAAGGTTCCATTTGGAAGCGCTGCTCAAAACTTAAACATTAACAAACATTATGAGAAAAAAAAACACGCTGCAATACAGTTGCCTTTTAAGATGGCCAGATATAGCCCATGAATATTTATGAGGCCATATGTGTACATGAAAAGGGAAGTCATGTTTGCATACAGGACGGCCACAGTGTAGAGAAAACTTCTCATGAGAAACAGTAATCACAGTGCGGAAATACAAAAACGTATCGGAAAATCTGTAAACACAATTGCAGTCTACGAGGTCTAAAAGCAGGTCGAAAGATGGTGATGTTTTAACGTCGATGTGATTCACTTACAAAAGTGTGCAGTTCATATGCCTACATTGCCTTTGCATTTCACGAATATAATCAACAATAATCTTGCTGTGTAACAATGTGTCATGTAAAACTCAAAAAGAAATAATTCGACTCTCCACGAAACCCGATGGTCAGAGAAGACTCCATCAAAGGTTGCTGGTGATTCAGATAAAGGTCGAGATTAAGATAAGAAGCTTTTCATCACTTTTCTTCGACATTGTGAAACAACGTTTACATTTTCAGGGCGGCGCAGGGAATATAACTCAATGTTATACATTTTGGTCTGGATCCAAACACTAATTCGGCAGTGACAGATCTAAAAAACGTTTCCCTCTGTCCTCGATTTATTATTCTCTTAGTCATGTTACTTGCGGTCGATTACACGTTGACTGATTAAGCAGCCATGGCTGGTTTGAGGTTTGTGCTTTTCTGAGGGCTGTTTAATTGTGCGCAATAACATCATCGATATGGTCATGAGAATCATAGCAAGTCCAAAACCCAGAGGAGGGAAAATAAAAGCAATGCCTTTTCCCTTTGCATATAAACACATGAGGTCCGCAGTCTGGGATGATTCAATTAGCCACCTTGGCTCTCGCACTGGGATTCCCTCCTCATGCTTCCTTCACAAAGATGAATGATTTCCCTTTTAGAGCAATAAATCTTGTTTTATTGCCACTGCTAGCCGAAAGCTCACCTGCACCACAATGGCCACAATGTCTGCCCTCACATTTGTTACTTGGGCCTGTTAATTCGACCTGAGCCAACCTGTTATGCTCCATCAAACGTGGGAATCGGATACCTGGTGAACGCGGGGGCCTTTTGCTTTGCACCCCCCAGCTCAGTGCCTGAACACATTGAGCCTCGGAGCAGCGAGAATGTCAGCCGCGTCACATGAATCAAGCATTGTGACAGGGGGGTCCGTTGGGTCTGGGATTACACGGAGCATCACAAGCCTCTCCTTTAACCGCTCGCTCGAACCGGGGACGGGAGGCGGGACGGCCGACTCGAAGCGTATATTTCCGTTGATGAAGAGATAAATCAGATCATCTCTGGAGTGAGGAGCGGAGCACAGAGAGGGCCTTCTTGCTCGACCTCCTTTGACATGTAAATGCAACGGTGGCACTGAAAGAGGGCCAGGTGTCCCAAGCAAAGAGGCAAAGCGTGACGGTGCATGCATTCCTGCGGGACCTCCGCCGTTAACTGTTGCTGTGCCTCATATGGGTACACACCAACGCGGTCTCACAGGGTGTGAGGGAAGGACCCCTTATAGCATTGCACTGGTGGGAAGAAACAAAGTCCAAATACTTGGTAACTGCAATGCGTTAAAGTATCCGTAATTCATTTCAACTCCCTTTAAAACACACGTACGCAATTTCTATGCCTCATTTTGTGAAAATAGGCTCGTTACCTTTTTTCAAATGATGCGAATGACCACACAATTAAAAAAAAAGACGAATGGAGAGACATCAAGTCAATCTTGGGGGATCTGATTGATTGAGATCTTAGGGACTCACAGTCTCTGAAATACAGTTCGGGTCCTTAAATATTGGGACATGGACACATTACTCATCTGTTTGGTTTTCAACACGACCATGGATTTGAAATTAAACAAACAAGATGCTCTTTAACGGCAGACTTTCAGCTTTAATTTGTGGATATTTCCATCCAAAGAAGGCTTTATGTTGTAGGATTTACAAGCGTCTGTATAAAATGTATGCTGACCAAAGGTAACAGGACAAATTAAGAAATTGAATTCTGGAATGCAGAGATATCATCAGAAGCTGGACTTCATCCTTGGTGATGCTCTATCAGGCCTCTCCTGCAAGTGTCTTCAGTTCCTGCTTGTTCTTGGGACATTTTGACGGCAGGTGTTCTCCGTCGAACGCAACACATATAATGTCTTGCTACGAAATGTAATCGAAACAGAAAGCCCCGAGCTGTGTGAGATACACTGCTTCCTTTTGTAATCCGACCCTCTGAAGACCAGAGGGTCAAAAGTCAACAGCTGCAGCTCACGCCTTGCTGGACGATTAGGAATAAGTTAGCCGGCTTACCTACATCATCAAGGTGGCAACTTGCGTGAATTCTCTTTGGTGGCCTGGGGCAACAGACTAAATGCCCCACACCTCCAAGAGGAGAAAATGGCTTGAACAATTCAGTCAGGTATTAAGGAAACAATAAAAGACCGTCATTAGTTTAAAGACAGGGGCTGACACCGGGAGTGACCTCCTGAGCGAGGGTGGAGTCCAAAGTCTTGATGTCAAAAGGTTAAATACTTGTACAATGAACGAACACACTCCTCACACGCTACTGTCCAAATCTTGCTGTCTCATTAGCAGGATGAGCAGAACTAGACGCCAGACCAGCAACGGGTCAGAGATAAGAGTTTGTACCAGGCAGTCCTATCTGAGATGACGCATTTGACACTGTCCGGTTGCATGGAGAATTTTATCACTATTCAAGGTTGTATAGGACAATCGGTCAGACAAAGACAACAACAAAGGTATTGCGCAACTGTTATTATTCCAGCTATGCTTCTACAACCACCAACTCCATTTGAGTTGGGATGCAGTACAAAATATAAATAAAAGCACAATACAATGAGTATTGAAAAGCTTTTCCAACCTATATTCAACTGAATACACTGCAAAGATAAGATAATTAATGCTCAAACTGATTATTTGGGGGGGGGGGGGCAAATATTCACTCAATTTGAACTTGATGCCTGCACGTTCCCATAAAGTTCGGACAGGGGCATGTTTAGGACTGTTGCATCACCTTTCTTTTTAACTACACTCAATAAGCATTTGGCAACCGAGTATACTAACTGTTGAAGCTTTATCGGTGGAATTCTTTCATATAATGCGCCATACATTTTTAATGGGAGACAGGTCTGGACTGCTGGCAGGCCAGTCAAATACTTGCACTCTTTTACTACAAAGCCAAGTTGTTGTAACATATGCACAATGTTACTTGGCTCCGTCTTGCTGAAATATGGAGGGACATCCCTGAAAAAAAAACATTGCTCGGATGGTTAGCAAATCGTATGCTCCAAACCTGTGTGCACCTTTCCACATTAATTACACTTCCACAAATGTGCCAGATCATGTCATGGGCACTAACCTCCATGATTTATAAAAGGTATGTGAAATGTATCCTCATCAGACCACAGCATACTTTTGCACTTTGCGTCAGTCCATTTCAGAAGAGCTCAGGCATAGAGAAGCCGGTAGCGTTTCTGGGTGTTATTTGGCTTTTGCTTCACATGGTAGGTTTTAACTTGTATTTGTAGACGTAACGATGATCGGTATAGTTGACAATCTTTTCAAGTGCTCCTGTCCCTACGTGGCAATATCTTTGATACAATGATGCCAGATTTAATGCAGTGCCTGCCTGAGGGACGGAAGGTCACGGGCATTCAATGTTGATTTTCGTCTTTTCCGCTTCCGTGCAGAGATTTCTGCATATTCCTTTTATCTTTTCATGGTATAATGGACAGTGGATGATGAAATCACTATATTCTTTCCAATTGTATGTTGACAAATGTTGTTGAATTGTTGGACTAGTTGCGAAATGAATCAACAAAACAATAACATTCAGGAATTTGAACATGACATATTTTGCCTTGGTAGTCATCTGAATATAGGTTGAAAGTATTTTGCAAATCATTGTATTTTGGTTGACACAGCATCCCAACTTCATTGGAATTGAAAAAAAAAGGAGGCTAATCTCATCTGTCAGACGCACATCTACGCGCAGTACTTACCTGAAAAAAAATCTACTATATAGAGAGCTCTAGGAGAAGAAAATGTTTTACTCACTTTTAGAGACATGTTTATACATTTAAATTCCTTTTTTTTCTTTGGCTAAAGTGATAATCTATCTATGCAAAATGTCAATCACCTGAGAATAAAAGTGTGATCATCATTCCAATAAATCTTAAACAATGTCCTTCAACTGTTGAAAATGTGTAAACTATGTTTTGATTTCTCTTAGTACAAGATGGCAGGCGAGGTTATTAAATGAATGCACACATCAGGCTCCTCCGGTGTAAAACGTTCTCCATAAATGAAGCTTCGTTTCAGTCACGACTCTACTGCGCCATCTACTGGTGATCGGAAGACATCTGCCACATATTGAAAAAGCTAGTCCTATTGGTTCTAAGGGGAGACAGAAGTAACCTCACAGGTCTGTTTTAAAATTGAACAAAATTGCAAACTTTTTATTAAAAATTGAAATAACATGTTGCAAAGTGCTTCTTTCAGAACCCACCGAAGAATGGTATTGTACAATAAAAGTATTCAGAATATTTTCCAGATAAATGTTTATTTATAGCATAAACGTTTTTTCCCAATTCAATGACAGTCACGTTTTTCTCTAGTATTGCAAAGTTGATACAAGGTTGAAAATATACTGTTTGTGGATATAGTGAAGATGTTCCAAAGTAGTTTAAAAACGTGTGACCTCATAGAAATGACAACTACCGTGGAAATATGTAAAGATGTTTGAAAACATCCCGTTGCTTAGTAAAAGTGCCACCAAATATCGTTCAAAGTTTTACACCTCCCAATCAAAGAAGCCTAACCACAAGGCTTGAAATCAAAATTATGCAACAAATGGATCAAACAAAGAACAGGTGGGGAATGGCCAAGCAATTGCAAAAGGAAGGTCAGCACCATTATGCCATTGGCAAGTCTTGAGAGAAAGCACATGCACAAAGTCATTAGTTATACTGATTAGCATTTGGCAAACAAGCACGTTAAGGTTAATTAGCTCTTAAGACGCCAGGAATGTTGGTACAGTGTTCTTGTGGCCGCTGCCAAAACACCAGTCCTTTTCTGCTGCTCCAAAGCTACAGAAAGTGGCACAGTGATTGTGGGTTAAGTTATCCATCCACATTAAAGAAAAAAAAAAAAAGACAACGATTTGTGCACCAGCAAGGCTTTTGTGACAGAGTACAAAATAAATAACTGTGATAAAAAGATCCTAAGTACAATGTCTGGACAATTTTTTTTTAATGTAAATGTAAGACTGTAAAAATGAAATGCTTCAAGTGTTCAATGTGCATGTTGAAAACAAAGAGCACTCATGAAAATAAGATTGTCTCCCAACAGACTGTGTGGTGAGAAGCTTCCCAAACAGGGAATGTAAAGAGGAATTGCAGCTGGCAAGCAGACAAACCAAACCATCTGACTGAAAGGCTGCCCACTGCAAAAGGAAGTGTTTGCGTATTGATTGCATCAAAAATCCACTGTAGTGTTTTATCCGAGTAGACAACGAAACAACAACGCATCCCCATTAACTTTGGCAATTTACTTCCACGCATCGAAAAAGACAATGTTGTCCCAGGAAGTCAGGTGTTTCGATGTAGAGAGCATCGAGGCAGTTTTACGCTGTAGTTGGACATCAGTCTTATCAGAAGCCAAACTGGTATCTGAGGAGGAGTTAACAGTCCAATAAACTCATCCATGGCTGGTTGTTGGCTGAAGGGTGCTGGTGCTGCTTCTACGCACACACTGCGCGCGTCAGAATTACAGGTACGTATCCTGGTCTGTGCTGCTGAGGCTGTGTGTGGATTGCTGTAGGGGAGTCTCTTTGGCAGGTGGGAGGTTTGCAGAAGGCACGTGGCCCTGGTGAATTGGGTCGGCTTGAGTCTGTGGTACAGTCTCTGGGGCCTTGCTGAGCAGTGGAGGCGGGGCTGGTGGATAAGACGGTGGGGGTGGCGTGGCGTTGGGAAGAGGGTAAGGGTTTGGAATCACCTCAGGGAACTGCGATTTCTTCAGGGTTTTCTTTCTGCTCTTGTGCTCTTTGCCCTTCTTCAGCAGCGGGCTAAGCTCCGCCTCTTCCAGTAAAATGGTGGGGTGCTGCTGGAGGTCCTGGCGCCTCGGGGGATCAGCCAGCATGATGAGTCGAGCGCCGTGCATCCTCGGAGGAGATTTGAAATTGAGCTCGCCACGGCTCTTCCTCCAGCGCTTTAGCTGGGTGTGATGTTCTCGTTCCACGTCTCGCGCCGTAATTGGCACTTCCAAGATCTATGTCAGGAAGACACGCGTCATTCGGATACAGATGAGTCATTGAGATCATTTTCCAAAGAATAGACGCGCCCTTTATGGGAAATACAGTAAGTGCCAGCCATGTCTGGTCTTTGTGCTAAACGTTACAACTGAATAAGTGAATGCTGAAGTGCTCTGGCAGGGTCAGCAGCGGTCAACTCATACAGACAGCTTATTATAAAGACTGGATGAGCCCTTTTGGATGTGAACCCCCCCACCCCCCCTTTTATGTGCTGCAGTCCGTTAAGTCACTAAGATCCATTCTCTAAGGGCTGTGTACGTTCTGCCCTGTCTGACATGCAGCTACAGATCACAATTCTGGACTGGAATGACAGCAACAGTCACAGTTCAAAGGTGACAACTTCACATTTCGGTACATTTCCACCCTGCGTAAATGTAGAAAAACTTAAGTTAACTTAAGACAATGTTTATATTAGAGAGAATTCACCAGTTATTCTGAAGCGAGTAGACTGGCATGTCAGTCATGTGATTCATACCAAAAAAAAAAAAAAAAAGGCCCTCAATTTTGTGCAAGCACTTACTCAAGAGTCAGCTATAATTACTGTCATTTCTTTTGAGTTGATGCATGCTGCAATGGAGCTATATTCTAAGTTCAAAGCGCTGTCCGCAAGCTCGTCTGTTGGGGACCAGTATACAGTGGCTCAACTTCTCTCTTTCTTTCCATGACTTTCTATGACTTCATTCGGTGAGTTCATCATGTGTGGGATTGTGTGCATTTGTATGGTAATGACTGAGTGAGTTTCCAGTAGTTCTATTGCACAGATGATCCAACACCCACTTTGCTGACTTTCTCCAATGAATTATTTGTCTTGAACCTTGCACTACCTGAGTTGATGGTAACGAAAGGATAATCACTTAGAGTTACTATGCTTTGATAGTTTCATCCACTTTGATGTGGTATTAGAAAAAGACTGAGCGCTAATCATACAGACTCAATAATGTTGCTGCTTTTACCTCTCGCACGAGGAAACCCTCCTGCATGTATCGAGGCTCCACAGCTCGGAGAAGCTCCATGGTTTCATATTGGCCCTGGCAGGCCTTCAGCTTCTCACGACTTCCCAGCATGCACTTTAACAGCACCAAGCCGACTCTGAAGATTATTTTCACACCTGATTTTAACAAGAAAAAGACAAAGTCTGGTCGTTATTCATCGGAGTTTCTTGTGAAATATATTTTTTTTTCCAACAGCACAGTCTTTAAACTTTTTTTTGTTCTTAATTTTCTGTGTTTAATTTAAAAAAAACATTCTTAAATAATCATGAGGTGGTACAGCATATGCAAACACTACTTAAGCCATTTTAGCCAGTTGTTCAGCCAAATTACTTTGATAACTTGTGTAAAGTGGCTCTTCCTTGTATATTTACTCTGTGTTCTGAGCATTGGTCGGTCCAAGGAATGCTGCTGGCCCAATTGTTCTTATGTCGGCAAAGAAAATCCCAGCTGCAGTAAAAGATGATCTTTAAAAATAGGGCTAGGTTAATAGGGCTTATTAGGTTATGCTATTTAGAACGTGCAACAACTTATCCAAAGATTTTAGTCAATTTAGGTGCATACAGTCGGCTCCATAAATATTGTGACGTTGACAGGATTTTAAATTAATTAAGATGGGTTATAACTAGACTAACTTTCAGCTTTAATTTGAGGATATGTCCATCGAAATCAGGTAAACGGGGTAGGAATTACAACAGTTTGTCCCTCTGTCTTTTTAAGCCGTGATGTATGATTCTGTCCCTCGCTAGACTGGAGAAAATCCTAAACAGGAATGATTACGCTATACGTTGTATTATCACGGCAGTCTAGAAAATGAATCGTTCCAATAAAAATACATCAAATGCCGCAAATATATCAAACATTCTTGCATATGATGGGTGGATGTACAATTCGGAGAGTTACCGTCACAGAGGAACATGTCCCAGACACGCAACACGGAGGCCCATGGCAACGTTCGAGAGAAGGCACACATAAACCATTCAGTCATGTAGAGGATGGGGTCAATCTTGTGTTTCTCCAAATGGCGGAAGGCTAGTGGAGAGACGCGTCGCAGCAAAGCAAAAAGGATCTCTCCATCCAACTGTATAGCTTCCTAAGAGACACAGAGAGGAGAACCATTAACGTGGGGATTGGAAACCAAGTGCTCCTCTGCATAAGCGTGTGGATGTTCCACGATTAAAAACCAGTCCAGTCACATCATGTTGCTGCACGTTTTAGAAAGACAATAGAGATTACATAACATCATCTTGATGAACAATAAATCCTGTTTCCACTTGAGAACAAAAATCACCGTTCATGTGATATCAAAAGGTAGGATTCATCATCCATAAACCACATTCTTGTTCCACAATTACATTGTGACCATGCTTCTTGGTGTCGGGCTGATTCAGATCAAGTATTGTGTCAGCCTACAAGATACAAGCTGTACTCTTGTTTCAGTCATAATCACATCTGTTGCGCAGTGTCTTTCTCACCAGGCCGGGGCTGTAGTAGCCGGGAAGGTATTTCTCACATATTTGTACCAGCCCCCAGAAGGCATCCTGTAGGAAATAGACAATCAGGTCAGGCAACCAAATTTTTTACAGTGGTACCTCTACTTACGAAATTAATTGGTTCTGCAAGACATTTCTTAACTCGAAAATTTTGTAAGTACAGTAGACGCGTTTTCCATGTAAATGCCCTAATCCGTTCCAAGCCCCCCCACCCCCATTCAGACATAAATGTTTTCTAAAGCATAAAAATGCATCCAAATATGTAACAAATACATGTTACAATTAGATTATTGAACAATAAATGAGAGTTGTGCATAATGTAAAAAACAAAGAAAAGAGGAAAGAATAAAAATAGTCATTTAACTTTTAACTGCAATCTCATCGTTTTTTTGTATCTCTTTAGTTCTCTCTCAGAAGTGGTTTTTGCCTGGCGTTTTATAAAGAACTGATCCAAGGACGTTTGCTTTTGTCGGCTTTGAACAATCCTTCGAAAATGTCCAAGGCAAACATCAACATAGTCAGCGATCGCCCGACTGGTGAACACTTTTTTCTGGGCGATTCACATTTACGTAAAACTAGCGGAACGCCACATGGCCCGAGGGGCGAATGACGAGGACACTGCATAGGCACATTTCTATTTATCTATCTACACACACAGTCACATACGGTAGAGGTCCCTCTTAGCCAATGGGATGTCAGGAAGATGCTAGGTAATAGCCAATGGCAGAACAGTTATAAGTGCGTTGCGTTCAGGGAGCTCGGAGCTGCTACTAGCAGCCTATACTTTTTTATTTTTACTTTTAATATCTTGAAATTTCTTTCGGAACAAGAGGCAATATTTTCCTGTTGAGGCGTTTCGTAACTTGAACATTTCGTATAAAGAGACGTTCGTAAGTAGAGGTACCACTGTAGATGAGACATTTGATATTTTCATGTTATTTTCGACACCGCTTCTTCTGTACAGGGTCGCTTCATAAGATGTGAGCTTTCATTTTCAAGAAAGCCACAGTAGTGACACGTGACTTCAATGTGTTTCCCTTCTTTCTATAGGAGAGCAGAATGTGGTGTTTTTAGGATGTCATCAAGCAAATTACATCCACGTGTTATTCCCAACTCTCGCATTTAGAGAAGGCGTATCAAACTCATTTTTAGTTACGGTTTCACGCAGAGGGCCATTATGGCTGTGAAACCATACAAATGTTTAATCTCCGCATATTACTGTATTACATATACACCACAACTAGCTTGGAAATCACGTCAGGGATAATAGTTTGTTCAGGATTGTTCAAAATACCGTAAAAAGGGGCTTGGTAACAAAAATCACTTGCAATATCTCTCTTTTGTTTTACATATGACATTGGGAAATTTTGGATGAGATTTCTGCAACAAACATTGAAGTTGACGCACGAGATTTGGTTCTGCAGGCCACAAAAAATTAAGTTGCAGACGAATTCGACCCCCGGTCCTAGAGTTTGACACCTGTGATTTACAGTGACAAAAAGAATCTGATCAGAATCAGGATTCTCGAGCCTGCATTATTGATATTGGCATCAGATATGAAAAAGTGTTATCGAGCCACGCCTAAAATAGATCTGCAAAAAATAGGTTTGTTCAAATTTCAAAGACATTCATCACAAACACGGATTGGTCCCTTCATTACTACCCCTGAGCAGTGTAATAAATCTCCAATACTGCACAAGAATTTGGCCTGGCTGTCAGAGAAGTATTAAATGTACGTTTATTGCTTGCTGTTCTCGTGTCCCGAAAGTAAACTGTACAACACACTTTTTTACGCTTAGAAGAAGTGGGAGGTCGGTGATTAATCTCAATGGAGTACATTGTGATTACAGTGACAACCAATGGGGGCTGTAAATAATGTTGACATGCAGCTGGGAAATACATTAGCTCAGGGGTCAGCAAGGGGCACAAGGTAGCCCTCAAGGACCATGTGAGTAGCCCGAGGGTCTGTTCTAACAAGAGCTCACCAGTCATGGGGACAGTGTGAATTTTTAGGAAGGCTGTAAAAGTACTCATTCGAAAATGTGAACACTGGCAGAGATTTATAAAAATAAAGTTGTGCCTGATGATATTTATCTGTTTCATAATTATTCTGAGGAAGTCATTAACATGAGCAATGTCTTCGCACTACAGTAATGATTACCACCAGTTACAGTGATCCCTCGCTATTTCGTGGTTCGTTTATCGCGGATTCAGTGCATCTCGGATTTTTTTAAACATATAAAAAAGATTTTTTTTTTTTTTTTAAATATACATGGAGTACAGTACTGTATATGTTGCTCTATGTGACTCGCTGTTGTTTTGCAGCTTCTCGCGGACTGTTCGCGGACTTTTTTTTTTAACCTGTATATGTTAATTGGTCGCTACTTCGCGGATTTTCATTTCTCGCGGGTGGTTTTGGTTCCCATTATCCACGATAAACGAGGGATTACTGTATTAATTCCGTATAAAAAGTGATTTGAGCAAATGTGTGATTTGAACCCAACCACAGTAGTAGCATTCACATGAGTCAGTACCGAAAAAGCAGCACTCAGTTTCAAAAAGGCTCGGGACCCCTGCATTAGTCTTCTCGGTTACCAAAAAAACTGTTTTGTCCAGAATTATTGAAGTGGGGTCGGAACGTGAAGAAGAGATACTGATGAGATGAGCTCCCTGAGCAAACTTAGCACTGCTTCCACCTCCACAGCACTGGATGGCTCAAGGTTATATTAAATCTGAGCTGTGCAATAAAAATATTTTGTTTAAAAGACCGTGATGAAGGACAGCACCGTCATATGAATGGTTAATGTTTGTATGAGTTAGGAAGTGAAGTGTGGGAGTGATGTACCTCAGCAGGCATGTGCATGAGTAACACAGCAGCAATGGGAGCCTGCGCTTGACAGTATCCCTCCTCTGGTCTGTACAGAGTGTAGGCCTTCAGAACACGGAAAAGATCCTTCTGCCTATGGACAGATTCACAACAGTGGTCACAACCACGTACCAAACTGGAATTTTTGTGCACGTCCCTTCTGGTCTGGGGTCTTACCCGTGTCCTCCCCGTGACACAAACATCTCGTGGAATGGAAACTGTCGATGGAGATCTTTCTCAATCACGTCGCTCCATTTGGGATCCCCTGGCTGGCTATCCAACTCCTAAAATGAGACACATGGAGGAGGCTGTAAGTCTGGTTTTGTACAATGTGGCTACCCAAGAAATAAGTCATCCAACTTCAATAAACACTTTCTACGAAAACACACTAAGCGCTCAAACAACAAATTAAAAATAAAATTGGGGTGGGGGGATGTTCACTCATGCTACATTTTCGGAACTATTTGTATTGAAATTGAAACACGACATGAGACCAAGGATAGAGTGGAAGTGAAAGGAGGATGTCCCCGACCTGAAACTTTCCTTGGTTTTGCTCTTTCTTGCCCTTTCCTCCTGAAAGGTAGAGCCACGCACGGCCTCGGAGAGAGGGAGGAATTCCTTTCTGGCTTCGAAGCCTCACCTGGACCACGGTGAAATATGGGGTCACAAAATACAGCACGACAAAATAGAAAAGTGCAACCAATGGTACACGTTTGTCACACTAGCCGTTCAAAGAACGAATGAACAACATCAAAAGGCAATAAGAACGTAGCTTGCATGTTACTTGTGCAGCGTGATCATGTCACCATGCACAAGTCCGTGTTGACAGAAGTGACAGAAAAATTCCAAAAATGCATTTAATGACACTCTGCACAACACAAGTTGTATTGCGGGATCAGAAAACAATGACTTTACTTCCTGAAATTCGCAGCAGGTGAACTATCGGCATTATCTCCACAATGAGCAAATAAAGTCATTGTTCTGTGCAATCGAATTTGGTTGTTGTAGTCTCGGACAAACAGTCTATATACACAGAGGTTTGTTTGGACAATGTCTTCTATCAAGTCAGTTGAGCCCCACCCTAAACATGACTCTAAACTGCTTTTGTCACAAGGTGTGTATTGTGTGGAAGGGATAGGTCAAGTTCTTCCCTACTGCTGACTCATAAAAATGAGGCCAAGTTGCAGCAATGTGTTAGATTGCTTTACAGTCTCTCTCACTCAGTCAACTCTCAGTAAAAGGCAGTAAGTAAAACATTCATGTGATTACAGAATATGCTATTTTATGCACTGCATATGTGCTCATTATACACATTTACCATTTATTGTATCACTTTCACAATGAAATTGTCAATCTTTTTTTATTATTATAATATATACCGGAATATAAAATGCTGGTTGTGATATTTAATGCAACTTTTGCTGTACCAGTGAAACCTCAAATACAATTCATTCTCTAATTCAGTTTTCCTCGATGAAATAGTTGAAAGTGAATTTATTTGATCCAGGGTTAGTGTTGGAATTATGAAACTGTCAGCAATTTCGCAGGCAAGGCTTTGTAACTAACAGTTAACATAAGGTAACCACTGCATTATAAATAACGCCCTCTTTAAAGGCCGCTAACAGACCCATAATGGAGCAGTAAAGGCCCATATATCTCACCGAGTGATGAAGGTTTGCAAGTGTGTTTGCACCTAGCGAATGTTGGGTTTTTTTCGTCAGGGTTTGTTCTAGGTCACAAAGAGTTTCAGACATTCGCCAACAATTTTAATGGTCTCTAACAGTTTTTCTAGTCGCACAGAAATTTTGAACATGTTCAAAATTTTTATAGTGATGAGAAAAACTGTTCGTGACCATTAAAACTGCTAAGGAACGAACATCTTTGCAACATGGAATGAACTCTGACGAAAAATAAACATTCGTTATGCACGCATACTTGCAAACCTTTGCCACTCAGTGAGATACGGCACTTACAGTTATTTACAGTGTCGCCTAATGACATTTTGAAGGTATTGTTGAAATCAATAAGAGTATTGTGAAAATGTACGCCAGGGTTTCATAAATATCAATATGAATGTCGTGGTTGTTGAATGTTACTTCTGATATACTAAGCAGCTAGACAATTTCCTTGACAGTGGTCATCAAACTTTTTCCAAATAACACTGCAACAAAAATTTTAAATGATTTAAAAAAATTAACACCCGAGTGTTGGTTGAAAAAACAGTCACTGAGAGTATATGGCATAAATATTTGGCCCCCTGCTGGCCTCTTAAAATAAATAAACAAACTCTAGAAAATATGACAGTATGGAGATCACATTTGCAAAGATATCGGCGGTACAATAAACTTTTAGAAAAGCCGTTTTGATGGCTTGCCTCAAGTGAACCACAGGACGTTTTATGCTTCGACAGTTTAGACATTTTTTTTGTCCTACTTTATTGAATCTCTTGATCATCCACTTGTCCCAGTGATTGAGCATATCCAACCACTTCACCTCCCTCTGCCTGAGCACTGCTGTAGGCACATCCTGAGCCCTGGAGACACACAAAAGAGAACATGTATCATTTCACTTCTTCTAAACACATGTTCCTCGTTTAAACAAATTGAACTATAAAAGGGTTTAAGTAAGCATTAAGTGATCGTCAGTTATACAGTATGAACATCCACAGTCAGCAGTTAAAAGCAAAAGCTTTGAATGGAAGGGAGTTGTGCTTGTGTCACTTAACAGTTGATTTTTATGGTCGTGTGAGTGCAAGTTTGAGAATTAGCACCATTTATTTAGATCTAGGATGTTTAATAGCATACTTTACGAGTGGCAGTATTTGCCCAATTCGAGTACGTATATACAAGCGTCCACACTAAAATAGACCCACATTAAAAGCTTCAGTTGAATAAAATATAAGCAGATCAAGCATAATATTGAGGGAGGTCTGATGTTTTTTCAAACTATACAATTACCTCATCAACTAAAGTGCGTAATTGAAGGCTCACACTGCTTCAAAGGAGCTACTTTTAGGCACTCCTCTTTGATTTACAGCGGCTAATAGAACATGTAGATCGTAATGTTTTTGTAACAAATATGGATCCCTCAATAAAACGCCGTACACTTGAAACTTATTACCAGGAAAACAGTACAGTTACAACAACCAACCGATCTTGAGAAATCCACTGTTGGCTCGACATTCTATGTTCCGGGGAAAAAACACAGGGTATAATAACGACATTGTGCCACGCAGCTCGTGGGTCGAGGAATCCAGGCAGCACACGCACAATTCTAGATAAATGACATTTTCTGCACCTTGTTCTCGTGTATTTATGGTTTAAATGACCATAAACACCATGCATGTTATTTAAAGCACAAGCCGGCGACCAAGTAGAATTAAAATGCCACTTACGACTCCTCCGTGTACTGTTGCGCTCCGCCAATAAATCCATATTTGTCGGTTTGTTTATCGCTGGTGAAACCATTGATCTCGGAGTCGGACCCCAGTGAACTTTCGTCGTCGATGTGACTGCTGCTGAGGGTCCGGATGCTCCTTGTGTCCACCGAGCGACGGCCGTTCTCCGTATTGGCCATGTTAGCGTCGACAGCTAGCAGGCTAGCGAAGTTGGCCAACGTCAGCGAGGCTGTTGACAAGCCCAAGTCAGAAATTGCTCCTTAAGCATATACCACGTTCGAGTCAAACATCATCGACGCCATTTGCTTATTCATAGAAATGAAAAATTCACTTCTACTCTTCCCTCGCTAACCATTAACAGGCGCCACACCGTAACAACACAAGCCAGAAAATAGACGTCAGGTCGGACTAACAGAAAAGCGAGTTAACGTAAAATCAACTGCAATCCGACGTTTAGCGTTAGCTAACTGGCATGCTAAAGCAAACTTACGTTAACAGCTCGGGACTCGAACCCTCAGTATTCCTACACGGATGCCACCGTCCACTGCCGTTATGGTGTACTTCATTGCCAGGGGAACAAACTAACGAAAGTAGATCATTGAAATGTCAACAGCCAACAGTGATGGCTGAGCTCGACGTCCTGTCAAATTTTGCTTCGACCAGCAGTCTTGTCCAGCGGTGCGAATGATTTGTCTTGGGATAGCAATGCTAATGTTACTCCTAGTGGCTTCTATTGTTACTACCATCTGTAAACGGGAGGGGGGGGGGCGCCCCCCTGACAAATTTTTTGAAGTACAGTACTGTATTCTGCAGTCAGCATGTGTGACAGTTATGCGCATGGTTTTCTCTCGATCTACATTCACATTCAATAAAAGAATTATTCAGACAGTTGGGGCTCTTTTTTAAAATCTTTATTAAACGGAAACGCATCATGGAGCAAATGAGTCAATGATTTATAATAACAGACATTTGGAATTGCCGGTACTCGAGATAACATTACATTTTGGAAAACACAATTCCAAATACAAGAACAATTACAAAGAACATTTTGACTAAACTAAATTGTGACACAACAAGGTCAAACATCAACTTGAAAATGTGATCCACAAATCTCGTGCTTCTTTCAGAGATTCACTTCTTTCTTCCACCTCTCTCCTTCAATGCCAAATGAATGATCGAACCAGTGCTCATGTTGTAATAAGCCATAGAGTTGGAATCTTTGATGAAAATGCCCTAAAAATAGGAAGAAACACAGATTATACATACACATTTATGTTTTGAGTAGATGCTTGAATTATGACCAGTGCTCGTTTACAGGTGACAGGTCAATGAGTTTTGTTTGGAATTTCTGACTCAACTAGTTTTCAATATGGCCAAGAGTAAATTTACCTCATATTGTAACTTCTGCTTTCCTGCTGGCATGCCTGTGGCTTCATGTATTTTCACTTTGATAACAGAAACCTGAGGAGAAATTATTTTGATTTACACATCCATTATGAGAGTGTTAATAGTACATGTTTTGCACAAAATAAAAACATTACGCTCATTACCTGGTCAGTGAGTGGGACAGTAAAATTGAGCACTTGGCCATTGAGCTTCCATTCTGTCTTGTCCTGCATGTTGGGGACCTGGACTTTAACTGCAACGGGACCCTTCAGAGTAAAACAACAGTTAAAAAAAAAAGTCAGAAATTCAGACATCGTTTGATTTATTCGAATGAAGCACAAAGTAATAACATTAGCGAGAGTGGCTTACTGATGAAAACTGCTATTTTATTTAATCATTGCATAAAATACAATTGTAGCGGTCAATTTCATAGGTGTATAAATTTTGTATTAATTCAAACATTTATTTCGATTTCAAATGGTTACTATTCATTTGCACAACATACATGAGTGCAAACACTTTGAAAAATAACCTTTTTATCCCTTTCTGATGAACATGAATACTTCCCTCCTACCGAATTTGGTGGTGGCTGCGGTTGTGAATTAGATTTTTTTTCAAAGAGGCTCTGCAAGAGTTTCATAGGTGTGTAGTCGTTTTTCAATCAATGTCGCACATTTTCATGAGTGTATTGCAATACAGTATGTTATAGGAAATAGTAAATCTGAAAGAAAAATATAGGTTTTGTATGAAATCTGTTGGGGTATACAAATTTATATCGAGCAATGCAAGTAGTTGTAGCTCTTACTTTAGACCAGTGGTTCTTAACCTTGTTAGAGGTACTGAACCCAACCAGTTCATATGCACATTCATCGAACCCTTCATTAGTGAAAAATAAAAATATGATTTTTTTTTTTTTAATGAATTCAACACGTAAAACACACATTTATTAAGAACTGAAAAAAGTAAATAAAATTTCTAGACATAAGTATACATTATTTAATTGTGCACAAAATGAACCGTGCATGATGTATGATCACAACAGTCACACTTTGACTACTGAGCGAACTAAATTTCCCACAGCACTGATTGGACAAGCAATGTAATGTGATCATCTGCAGCCAGTGATGGCCAGGCGGGCGTGTCATAACTAATTGACACGTTGAGTCGGGTGTTTCTTAACCTCCATGGCAGAGGCTCCGTCGAACCCCTGGGACCGATTTACCGAACCTCTAGCATTCAATCGAAAACAGGTTAAGAACCACTGCTTTAGACAATGATGCTAAAGAAATTCAGGGCAACAACAGTTAACATGCAGTGAGACGTATGGCAAGTGTTGCAAAATAAAATTAAAAAATAATTGGTAATACTGACCTTGTTTCTGCGAATAAACTCATCCTCTGGAATAAGGTTGTCTTCTGTCTTCATCTTCTTGTTCATTGGCTCATCGTCATGAGGCGGCGGCGGGTGTGATGGCGGTGCAGGAACAATATTTGGGGGTTGTGGTACAGGAGGAGCAGGAACAAATGCTAGATAGTAATGGCGGGGAAATTAGTGTCCAATTTAACACAAGGTAACATGACGTAACAACAGAAATAAATCTTACTAGCTGGAACGACCATGGGAGGTGGTCTGGGAGCCATCATGTGAGGCGCCGATGGGGGCATGGGAACCACATTGATGCGGGGGCCAGGAATCATCGGAGGCATTGATGTTAACACTTGTCCTGGAGCCAGGCGCACAACGGGAGCAACGGGCGGCCTTGGAATTACTGGCACAGCTGACAGAAGAGTGGTGCGCACTGGGGGCCCCACCTAAGAACAAGCACATTACACTGTAGGTGAAGCAACAACTTGCTGATGACAAACATGCTTTTTGTGTGCAAAACTGACATTGGAGGGCGGGCGAGGCATTGCTGCGACTGGAGGGCTAGGTTTTGGCACAATGGGTGCAGGGGATGGCATCGGAGGCATGTGGTGAGTGTCGCTGGGTTTGCTCGGACCTATCTTCTCTTTAGTGTCATCCTCCCCTACCAGCCCTTTAGCTTTGTGAATCGCTTCAATCTGCTCTTGGAGGGTGATGTTAGCTTGAGCTGCTTGCTGGGTGCGTGCCATGCTTCCAGAGTGGCCATCCCAGGTGACCTGAGGAGAGAGCACCCAAATTAGTTTTGGGCAATCATCAAAAAATAAAAAAAATAAAAAAATAATGTCTGTAAGAGCACAATTGCGCTCACCTTTTCCTCTGGTTTCTGGATTTCTTCTTCCCCGATTTTCTTACCAATGGCTGTCTCCTCCACACCAAAGATATCGGTACGCCTCTCAGCCAGTTGCTTCAAGCTGCTATCGATGTCCATACCAGGAGCATAAACTTCATCTTCAGTCTGCCTGTCTCTGATGCTGCGGTCCCTTTGCTCCAGCCAGCGTGGATCCAGCAGACCAATGCGCATGTGCTCTGGTATTTTACTAGCTGGGATCTTCTCACCAGTAATAGGTGAGATGAGATACTCATCTGAAACAACAGCTGGTGCTGGAGCTTTGGAAGCTGATGAAATAATGGCATCGGATTATCATACACTGGAAATGGTGACATTCTGATGGCTTGCCAATGAGATTAGCTCAAATTAAAAAAGGAGGCAGTCCTCACCTTTGGGATCATAGTCTTTACGTATAATAACTTGGTCTGGAGTTGGGGGGAGTGGGGGTGGCATTGGGTTGCTGGGAGGCACTGGTATTTTCATGCCTTCATCCTCTTCATCAGATCCCTAAAGAACAAGAGTGACAAAACACTTCTGTGTTACAAATACTTTGTTCTTTTAAAAATGTGATAGATGATAATTCATAAATGTGTCTGCAGTGAGAAGACATTTGTAGTCTTTTTAGGGCGCACCAAATTCTTTACAAAATCTTCTTACCTCATCCATGTCCTGGACCTGTGTGTCTTGATCAGGTTGCACAGCATGGCCAGCATTCCGCACCTCCCTCTCATCATTCTCATCATCGCTTTCGACATCCATTTCTACTTCCTCACTCTCGCCGTACTTCTCATAACGCTCTTGGATGAGGATGCGGGCACCGAGCTCCTCCGGGGTGGTGGGTGGGGGGAAGTGGCCTGGAAAATCATAATGTTCCCATCATTTTTGGAATGTGGATGGAAACCTAACTGGAGTACCCGGAGAAAACCCACATAGGCATGGGGAGAACATGCAAACTCCACACAGGAATGCCGGAGCCGGAATCCTATGCTGCACAGTGAGGGGGACGTGCCAACCTGTCGACTACAATGTCGCCCATGGAATGTTGTTTTACATGTTGATATTATTTGAACCATTCCACTAAATTAGTGCCAATTGATTATATAACACTCACAAATAAATAATTTTGGTGACAACACTAGTCAGAAGCAATCATACGGACTCTATTACCTTGCTCGTTGGGCTGGAAATCCACTGTCTCCACCACAACAAAATCATGCCAGTCGATTTGAGCATATGCTACTCGTTCCTTCTCTCTTTCCTCTTCTTCCTTCTTTCTTTCACGCTCCTGATACTTGGCCCACTCAACACGGTATCTCACCTAAGGTTTTACCATTGCAAAAGTTGATTTAAACAAGCAAAAGGCTGTTAATTGCTTTGAGTTATGTGAAACAAAGCAAAAACAAAAGAAGAATTGTTCACCTGGTCCATAACGTCTTTTGGATTCTCAGACTCTTTCTTCAGCTTTACCAGAAGGCCTTTAGGAGGAATTAAAATCTACACGTGAAGAAAACAAAGAGGAATTAATCCAGCAATGAAATACAATCTAAATAAAGTTTAGGAAAATGTTTTCACCTTGGTATACTGCTCAACTAATTTGGTGAAGTAGTTGAAAAGGCTGTGTTGCGGGCGTAGAAAATCAAATTGGTAGTTTCTCTGTTCCTTTTGCATGAGCTGAGTGAGGAATTGGCGCCCATTGCGAGCAACAAACTGTGCAGTGAGCTTGACGACATCCAGATCAAATGCAGCAATTGATGGAGGATCAGCAATGAACTCAAACTCAGGAGGTGGCTCTTTAGGAATGATAGCTTCCTGGATAACCTGCACCTTTGGACAGCCACAAACACATTTAAAAAATGAATACATCAAATAGGAAAACTAAAATAAAATCCTTGTGAAATGTAAAGTGGTTATACTTTCTGAGGAAGCTGCTGGGTCTGTTGCATGGTCTGCTGCATAACCTTTGGCACAGCTGCTGATGGTTCCAGGGCTTTACCCTCCTTGAACTCAGTAACCTTGTGTCGGTAATAAGCATGGTATGGGTCATTGGGGTTGAGGAAATTGAATTTAGGATTGTTGATCTCATTCTGACGGATTCTTGCTTCAAATTCAGGCCCATTTCTGAAAATGGACAAGTCGTGATTAAGCATGATGAAAGAGAATAGAACACTAAAAATCCAGATGTGAACAACATTTAACTTGTAAACAGAAAACAACCTGGCAACAAAGCTGGCGGTTTTGTCAACAATGTTTCGGACCTCAGGTGGTGGGTATATAATACCAACAATAGGTTTGGTTGCTGGAGTTTCTTCAGCTGCATCAACCTGTATAGCAGATGTATAGTTGTGTGCAATTAAAATTAACAATAACATACATGACTGAAATGGCAATTTATTACGTAATGTTAACGATGTTGGTCACTATTATATAAGCAACAGAAACTGTTTAATACGGTAGATCTAAGCATGTACAATGTTGCACCAGCCGGTCATATCATACAGGCGGCCGGGTACAGTTTTACTGCAGCTCACAAACAAAACAAATCCATTGTATTAGTTTTAGGATGAAACACCCCACAGCAATTAGAAAGCACAAACAATAACCCAATTAATCCTGCTATCCGGCAAATGACAGACAATTGGCGGGTGCCATAAAATAGATGATAAATACGGCAATGCAAAACAATTACGAACTTCTTAATGTTAAGGTACTTCGATTACATTTGGTTTATATACCAATGCTTACCTATATTAGTGCAAACATACTTCAACTAAACGAAAACTGTACCTTCGGTCGCTTGCTAACATCAGCTAACTAGCACAGTGGCGTCGTTACCTTGTTGAGCTCCGGCTGGACAATTTGTACAGGGCCAGGCGGCATGATTGCGACTTTTTAATGAACCCAAAAGTCACCTAAGAAAACAGATTAAGATAGTTCAAAATTTGAATTACATGTGCTATCTTACCGTGCTAACAAATGAGCCATAAATAAATGTTAAAACATATTCTGTTATTGAAAACTTACTGCGTGGTCCTCTTGCTAACTGCGCTTCAATGGCGGCGTATTACTTCCGGGCAGATGCCGCAAAGTACCTTGGAACTTGGAGTGTCGCGCTGCCTGGTTGCCGCGGAGACGAGATATAAACACGCCACCCCTTTCGCCGCGACTGCAGTTAAAACTGAGTTTTTTTTTCCAAGAAAAAATGTCTCAGTTTCTCGGTCGCCAGGACTGTATAGAAAGTCTCCAAAAAGATATCGCCGACCTTCAATGTGCAATTGTGGACGCTTTTTCCACAACGGGCCCGGTGCATGTTTTCTCGTGGAAATTCCCGGACAAACTCTCTTATAATCTGGATTTGGATATGGAGCAATACAGTTTTCTGGACGGCGAGGATGAATTTAACCAGCACGTCCATATTGTTTTACTGGAGTTAGTGATAGACAGGTAAATAAAAGTTTCTTGCACGTCGACAACTGTTTTTATAAATGCAACCTGCAATTTAACACAATTCTCTTTCTCAATCAATCAAGGCTACTTCTTCTTGTACAAGCATCAAATGCTTATGTTGAAGAACGGAGCAATAACAACAGGAATCAACAAACCGATCAGAAAGGCTGCACGTCAATAGGACTCGTTGTTAAAAAATATTGGCGCAATTTACTTCAATTTTCCAACATGAAGGTCGATTCACTTACAAACTGTATCACAACTTATCAAAGTATCTGTATGTATTTTATTTATTTATAACTTTCTCTCTCTGCTTCTTCAGAAGGAAAACAAGTTACAAACAGAGATGTCCAATTGTGCCGAGTGTGTACCTTCAATGCGTGCACATGACATTTCTGCTTCAACAAACGCCAGCTTTTTACCAGATGAGGATGGACCGACCCCTCAGTGCCACTCGCAGCCCTCTAGTGCCACTCCCAACCTCCCATGCAATCCTAAAGTTGGCACGCACAATGTATACTCTCAAACCGATAGCCTCCCATGCAATCCTAAAGTTGGCACGCACAATGTATCCTCTCAAACCGACGACACACCCGCTGCTCCCTGCAGTGTATGTCATCAAACACAATCTACTATTAGAAAGACGGGCAATGTCCTGGTCGAACTACTTCAGCGTGAGGGATTGCCCTCTTCTTTACACCCACTCTTAGATGCTGTGCAGGACAGTGTCATGGGAGAAATGAGAGCCGGTGATGCTGCACAGTGGGCCAGTGAGCAGCTCAGTGATATGCGCCGACTGTCAAAACATGTACAAGATGTGAGAAATACAGTCGAGCCTCTTAAAAAGAAACTAACAGCAGCAGAAGCAGATCGAGATAAGTTAAGGGGCGACATGGAAGGTGCCCAGAAAGAACTAAAGGAAAAAGTGGAAAAGCAGAACTCCATTATTCTTCAGTTGGAGGGAGCATCACAGAAAGCACAGACAGCCAGGAAAGAAACTGAACAAAGACTATCAGATGAGTATGAACAACTCAAGAGAGGTGAGGTGACAACATAAATCATGTACTGTACAAGGGATGGGAAAACAGGTGAGAAGGTTAATGTAATTTACTTTCCAACAGAACATGCATCCCTAAAGAGGAGTTATTCCGATCTGACAGGAAAAGTAGCAATAGCGCAAGATAGACTGCAAGATCTTGGTAAGAACCATATCTGTATGATACTGTACATAATGTCTATCAAAATTTGAATCTGGGTCCTTCTGTGTCTAGGTTGCATCATCTGCAGGTGCTTGTGTATTTTTTTCTCTGTGTACTCCAGCATTTTTATTTTAGTTGAAGATTTTTAATGGTTCATCTTTTCTGTGTTTATGTCTCTCGCCCAAATGTCAGTTGAGATGGGCTCCAGCTCCCCCGTGATCCCAGAGAGGACAATCGGTTTAAAAAATAAATGAATGGATATGTTTTTTTAAGATATATCACTGTGTGACACTCCATCCAGTGTTGTTTTTTTTTTTCATTTTAGAGTATCAAAGGAATGAGCTGCAGGAGAAACTGAAAACCCTGCACATAAAGGAGAAAGCTTGCGCTAATCTACAAGAGAGGATTCAGCAGTTTGAAAGTCAGCTCTGCGAGGCGCATCTCCTTCTCGAAAAAGAGAAGGCCAAATACGACAGTGCATGTCATCACCAGGAGGTAAGGCGGCAGTCTCACATGCCACGTTGGTTTGGTCTCCAGTACTTCAGACGAATGAAGTTTCCACTCACTTTGTGCATGCCACTCCCGTGTGAACAGTCAATGGAAACAAAACAAAAGTCTTTGCTACAGAGAGTAGAGGCTCTCGATGAAGAGTGTGAGGAACTGCAGAAACAGTTGGGAGAGAGGGAGGAAAGAGAGCTGAACCTCCACAATCAGCTACAACAGATGTCCGAGGATAATGAACAACTGCGAACACAGTTCACTTCACAACGGGTATTTGAAGATCGCCCTCAACCTCTGTTTCACTTAATCACAGCACCAAATTGAATGTGTGGTTTTCAATTCCGAATAGGACACTTGTTCACAGCTACAGAGTGAGAAGCAGACACTACAAACTCAAATAGAATATTTCCAGGGCAGTGTGGCTGAGCTCAAGCAAAGTGTAAAATCATTGAAAGAGACGGAAAGGTTGCTGGTGGCTTTCCCAGAACTCAGCCCCCTGGCTCATGCCCAACCAAAGAGTATGCATGTCATTATTACTTTTGCACACGCAGGGTCATGATTGGTTACATTTGAACCATCCTTTTTGATGTCTTGGTTCTTGGAATCTTTACAAGGTACGGGAAATGTGCTTTTGGATATGGAGCAACAGTTGCAGGCAAACTCCATTCGCATTGGCGTGCTGGAGAAGGAGAATGCTGCCCTTCAAGGCAGTCTTGTAAAGTTGAAGGAGGCAGCCCAGCAGAATGCTGCCAAGGTAAGACTGATAAAGTCAAACTGGATTGGCACTGATAGAACGGAGATCTCCACCAAGGGCGAGCCCTATTTGGATTAGCAACACAATGTAATTTATCAAATATAAATTCACTAATGAGAAATTAAGAAGCTTATCAATGTTACCTAGGGCTGAACAATTCATCAAAATCAAACTGACATTGAAATGTAGGAGAATGCAAATCGTAACCACGCCATTAGATCAAATGTCACCACCTCCTGTTTTCTCTCTCTCTCTCTCCCCCCAACAAAAAAGGTACAAGTTCCCTTAAGTTCTAAATAAATAAAATAAATAAATAAATAAATAAATAGACATAAATAGACATTGGCACGAAAATCGCATGAGCATAAAATACAGGGCAGGAAAACAAAACAATACTCAATGGTAAAGTTCTGCAATGTAAATGTTCATTTTTCCCAAATTAATGCATCTGTCTGTCCTTTCAAATACACGAGAAGAGGACCTTGGAAAAAAAATAACCAAAAATTAAATGGCAATATTGAAGGGAAAAACATGATCACCATTGGACCAAAAAAAGGAAAAACAAACGTGTCTGGAGCCGCTACAAATTAAAAGTCTCAGAAAGAAGGCAACACACGCTGTATGTATCTATATTCGCTATATTAGCCTACTATCAAAATGACAAAGCTAGCTACAAATACACAATGAATCTTCCCGATTAAATGTTTTTTTTTCCCTGCAGTGCATCCTGTAGAGCAGGGGAGCCAACCTTTTTTGACCAAAACTCTTTCGATCAACCAGCCTCCCTCGATCGACCACTCCCCCATCTTTTTCCATTTTCAAACATTTTAAAAAGCTCCAGGGAGCCACTAGGCAGCGCTAAAGAGCCGCATGCGGCTCCGGAGTCCCGTGTTGCCGACCCCCGGATTATCCAATGATGTGGCTCTTTCCTCTGCTTTGTTCGGACATACACTGGTTTTTGGATCACATTAATTCTTGAAATGCTTATAGGTCATCCCTGGTCCATTTCTATAAAACTGTAAGGAACCTCTCTGCCGCATAACTAACTAACTAAAATAAATAAATATACTTAAAACAACAACAACAACACCAAAACAAAAGGTCAGATATGTTGTGTAAATATGGAACAGATGGATACTAAGTGTGAATCCCCCTCTCACAGAGTTGAACAAAAACATATCTGCAAATATATCACACATACTGTGTGCTGCAGTGTCTTTGGGATGAAGGTTGTCTGTGTTGGTGTGAGGCCTTGCTAATGACCCTTAAGTGTTCTAATGCTAGTTTATTCTCATCAATAGAGCACAACCAATGAACAGGAAAGCTCACCTCTGCAAATATGCAGCTTCTCTCCAGTCACCCCACCAGTCGAACAACTGGCTGACCAAACACAGATGCAAATGAGTCCATTGTAAGTACTTAAAAGCATAATTCTAATCATGTTTATCTTTGATAAATCTTTTTTTTCTTTGCTTTATTTCTTCACTCCAGTAGCAGGCAGAACTGTAAGGCACCATGGTTGGGAAACAGTGACAGAGTAATCCCAGTAGAACGTGATTGGGCGTCAGCTAGTGCAGCAGATCGCATGCCACCCACTTGTGTGACCCCCTCATCATCCACCACCATTTCTCTTCAAACCCTTCACTTCAACATCAGTTCCACTGCTGCTAAAATTCAGACACGTAACACACGCAAAACCTCTTACTTACCTCAAACCAGGAGCTTAAAGCAGAGGAAAAAAGTGAATCATTGACTTTGGTTTGTATCAAGATGTCCAGTAATTTTGGAACAGTTTGCAAATATTTGTCTGTAAGGGTATGTTTTGGTACAGTGTGGCTGTTGCTGAGTATTTGCTGCAGAGAGGGAACACCACTATGTGTGGAGCTTCTGAGACACACACACGCGCGCACACACACACACACACACACACACACACACACACACACACACACACACACACACACACACACTCCAGTCCAGTCCAGTGTGTGCCTTGCTCCTCGCTCTGTTGGCTGGGGTAGGCTGCAGCGAATGTCTTGACACGTGGTATGGAAAATGGATGTATGGATGTAATTTGCTTTAAGTTTCCAAATGCCCCAATTTAAGAGAGTGTATGAATAATTAGTCAAATGTTTTCAGAGCTGAACCTATAAATAACCAAACAACAGAAAAAACATGTACAAAGCATATCCAATAATAACCCCAACAGATTAGTAGCAAGTGCCCTGCGTGGCACTGAATTTACAGACTTGGGGACAGATGTGCTTTGTTGTTTAATTATGGCACTTTACAAAGATGGCGAATGAGTTTCCATAGCAACACAATTACTCAGAGTTTTCATGCTGTGCAGAATGACTTCAGATAATTTATTTGAGTAACCATCGATAAACAATCTCTAATTTATTGCACAGTGTGAACTACATCAAGTCGGTTTTCTTTCATCGGGGTCACATCAGTAATTTCAGACATTTTGAGCTTTGTTGTGTAACATCCCATCAGACTAATGCAGAGCGCTTTACGATGTTTATGACTATTTTTAACTAAACCTAAGCATCAGATGAACATAGTGGGGACTCTCGTTACAAAATGAGTGGATATCCTACGTATTGTTCTAAATACTTAAAGGACAGGTCATGACCTTTGAGTTAATTAATCCCTGACATTGGCACAGTTATGTAGTTGTGTCGTCAGCCGTGTAATTCAAGGTCTTAAGCTCTTTCACTTGATGACACAGGTCTGTGATTAAATCATAGTAATTAAGTCACTTAGACTTGTTTACGAAAAGTGAGTCCTGAAATTTCAGCAGGTAGACATCTGATATGTAATACTAAATATCAGTCAAGGATCATCATCATTGTTACGAGTATTGTACTCCCAGTCTGTGTGTGTAGATATCTGAGAGATATCAAATATATTCCATTAAAAAGAGACATATATGTGTAGAGATAAACCACAAAAATAAGTTTTGTAATAGGACCAAAAGTAAATCTATCTGAAATGGTAAGGAATGTAGATTTTTCTTAATAATGCTTCAAAACTTTTATTTTCCAGACAGTATATGACACAGCACTTTCATACAGACAGAAGTGAGAAATTGAGACTGTGATGTGCGGGAAAATCCTCATTGGTCGTTCGGAAAATAATAGAGTATCTGTGCACCCTGTTAAAAATAAATAAGCAGAGAATTCAAATCTTCTGGGGCCTCACACCTTTTTGTAACAATACTAACATTTACATTCTGTTCCAGGTCTGTATTTGGTTTTACACACTATAATAAACAATAAATGACAATGTGCAAGTGGCTGTATGTAAATTTATTGTAGAATCGAGCAATTTTATATATCCTGATCACTTGATTAATCTATCATCTTTGATTCACATGTTTAAGGCCGTAGGTTTTGTAAGCAGACAAGTGAAAAAAACAAAACACTGTAAACTAACATTAGATACTCATCAGTATGCACAAGTGCAGACGTGGGAATGTATAGTACAGTAGCCTATATTAGGAGACATATTTTTATCTGTTGCAGAGGTCAAACCGCAGCCTGGTGACACCTCCAAATCTGAGATTAAGGAGACCTCACAGAGATAAAACAGATTTAACGATAACCTGTTTCTGGAAAAAATATTCTCTGAAAAGATTTTCAATTTGTGCTCAAATTTCCTGAATGTAATAATGTGCTTTGACATCTACAGTGATGCTATTGACAAGGGAAAGGACTGTTGCTTAACGGTGCATTAGGGAAAAAAGAAAAAAAAAAAGAATTGCGACCAAAGAGATCAGGGTCATGTGATTCAGGAGATTAGGTGAAGCACTGAACTGTTGCACTTTCAATTTAAAGTGTGTGTGTGTTCATATTTTCCATACAAAGACAAACGAAAAATCACTGTTTGAAGGAACACAAAACTTGAAGGGAAAAAAACATTAAAGAAAAAAAAAAATGTAATATTCCATTACAACAAGGGCAGTTGAAATGTTCCATAGGGAGATCCATCCACATTCTCTAAATCTGATAGTCAGCCTTGCGATTAAAGTGGAGAATTGAGAACAGTGTATTTCTCTGACCGGCTCCAAAAATACAACACGTACCGGTACTACGTACGCTTCACCTGGCCTATTGAGATTTTTGGTTTGCTGTAAATGTTAAAGGTGCATAAGAAAATCACAGTTAAGAACCCTTGATCTAACAAAAGGCTGTCACAGAAAAAGCACCGTACAGCGTATGGCCGACAGCCTCGTATGATTTTTCCATGTCTTTGATGTGATACGTCTTACGAAGAAAGGTCTCAACTTTGCATTTGAGTATGATAAGATATACAAATATGCTTCACAACAAAACAAAGGATGCAGATACTATGCTTTGGTGTACTTATACTTGCAGAGCGACGGTACAGAAAGCAACAGGGCAGTCAGCTGTGTAAAAAATATAGTGATAAGGGTAGGAAAGAGCAGATATCAGGCAGGTGTAATCATTCGATTCAGTCATGCATCATCTTCTTCCAGCAAACTCCTCAGTTGTCATGGCAGGGTTCATGCAGGGGGGTGTGGCATCTGCTTGTTCGGGCTGGATGGACTCCACAGTTTCGACCAGGCTGCCACTGGGGAGCACGACATACCGAGCCGCCAAGTCTTTGGGATGCAACTCCCTCCTTCCCTCTTTACTGTGCCAAATTCCATAGCCAAAATACACCAAGAGACCTGCAAAGGCACATCGTGAAAATCAGAGGAAGAGGTGAAAAATATAGAGTGATGTTTTGTTTAGACTAGAGGATTGAAGAATGTTACATTTGTCAACAGTTGGAGTGCAGGTGAAATTAAAAAATATTTTAAAAATATTTGTTTGGGTTTGATTGTTGTTGATGAGAGAAACTTTTTTTTAATGATCAGAAATCTTGGCATCCTTTTTTTATTCAATTTTAGTTTTGTAGAACTGTTTGTGTGTGTGTGTGTGTGTGTGTGTGTGTGTGTGTGTGTGTGTGTGTGTGAGAGAGAGAGTATGCGTGCGTGAGTGTGCATGTGCAAGCAGAATGCAATATTGGTTAGTACGTTGGCCTCATAGTTTCCTCTTCCTATATGGAATTTGCATGTCCAAAAACATGCATAGTTGAAGACTGAATTGACAATACATATATGTATGTATATGTAAATGTGAATCCTTAATTGTAAATACTGGAAGTGTTCAGGCAATGGGCTGTCAGTCCAGTCTTATCCATATTAGGGACAAGCGGTGGATGGAACTGGTGCTAATTGTAAAAGAACGCCTTTTTTCAAACATCAAGGCAGAACTTCTTATTTTCAACACTGAAACTGAGAATTGTGGCTCTCCAGTGTACTGACAAGCTCAGTGATTTGGGGTACCAGTATTCGTATTGTATCGTTCTTGAAAGTTTGAAAATCTGTTAAAACAATGTGAATGGTGGAGCACTTCACAAGAACACTTTTAGTTAATATGACAGATCCTCATTTGACACACAAAGAGAATGTGACAACATTTACAAAGTTGAGTTCACTGACTAGACAACAGAATATTTTGTAACTACATATTTCCAAACATTATTTAGAATATCTGCCATATAGAATTGATGTAAGGACTAATGAAAGAAAATATAGGATACACTTACCTGCGGCAATCCAGACAGTGAACCTAATCCAGGTTAGAGCGCTGAGCTTCATCATAAGGAATACATTGATGAGGATACTGACGCCTGGAGTAAGTGGTACCAGAGGTACCTAAAAAGAAACAAAACAACAATTTAAAGTCTAAAGCAGCCACACACTTAACATTGAGTTTGTGAAACAAATAACATTTGGCTTTGACTGGAAATTAACTGAGGGTAATTATTAAGGGTAAGGGTAAATGTTGATTTATATTCTGTTACCGTGATGATACCTACTTGTATGGATAAATGAAGCAAGGTAGAGCACATTAAAAGCAATCGAGGCTTGGGCTGAGTCAAGACTACATGACTGCACCTCAGTGCACAGAGCACAGCCCATATGCGCATGGTTGACTGGGTTTGACAGTGAGGAACTTAAAGCGCTCTGGCCTCAGCCCCATCCTTTCCAAACTTTGAGATCAATTAGAGCGAAGATGGTGAGCAAGGCCCTTTTGTTCAACATCAGTGCCCTCAGACCTCAAAATTATTCTTCCAGATGAATGGACAAAAATGGTCACAAATACTCAAGTACATCAATGGAAGTTACAAACACGAGCTCAACTCCATATTTTCACTTCCTGTTGGTGTTTGGAATGAGTTATATCAATTTATCCAGACAGTGTGCATTTGAGATGCACATACAATACAGTGCGTCCCAAATATCAATATGCAGTACACTTCCCGTTTTATATCCTATTTTGTTTCAAGCATCAATTGGCTAGAGGTGAGGCCATCGGCCAGCTTTTGTGTTTTTGTTGCAGTTTTGGTGAAGATATCAATGATGTGCCTGTCAAAAGCTGATGACCTCACATCTGGCCAAATAATACCTGACACAATAAAGACAAATCATGTACAATGACTTTTGCGCGAATGTAGGTGTAAAATGATTGCTTTTGATTATTCAAAGTGCTTACCTGGAATGTTTTGGTGTTAGTCTGTGGCTCATGAACCCATATAACTGCCATGCTGAGAACATAGGCAAGACTAAAAATCACCAGGAGGGTGATATAGCTCCAGCTTGGGAGCTGCAGCTGCGTGACGCCAAATACAAGCACGCCAGAAAAGGACACTGAGGTCACTAACAGGCCCAGTACACAGAGGGCCACCACCTCCCCTGGCTCGCAGTTCCCCAGGAGCCGGCCCAGGTAGGGTTCCCAACAGGCCTTTAGCTGTCCTACCGCCCTGCGCTCCCTTGTCTGCTGCTTGTCCACCAACTGCAGCTTGTCAGAGAAGGACTCGTACTGTTTCAGATCCTCACTGTCCTGTGATATGTTCTGGCATTCTGAGGGAGCAGGGGAAGGCTCTGCATTTGGATTGGGAGATGTGGATAAAGTCTCTTTGGAGTGTTTTTTCTCTGGCTGGAAGCGAAGGACGATAACGCTGGCCGCTACAAATGTGTAGGCCAGCAGGGTTCCAATAGACAAGAACTGAACCAAAGCCTCGAGATCAAAGATGAGAGCCATGGTGGCCATGAGGAATCCAAAAACCAGAATAGCATTGATGGGGACTTTGGTGATTGGATTGACACGTGCAAAAATTTGAAAGAACAACCCATCTTCTGCCATGGCGTACACAATCCGAGGGAGGGAGAAAAGATTGCAGAGAAGCACAGTGTTCATGGCTAGAGGGAGGAAGAGAGAACTATTAGCCAACTATGACAAATAATACATTGGTAAGTTAAGTTAGTGTTTAAGTTCTTTTTATGCTTTCAATGTTGAAAAACTGATGTTTAAAAAAATTCCTGTTTAGTCAAAAGTGCTTTTGTTTGCTTATGATTTTTTTTTATGGATTCCTTTGGTAACAACAGATTCTAAAATCAAACACATTGGGGGTTGACCCTTGGCAGTTCCCCTGTATTGTAATACTGCATGCCGTCATTATCTCTGTTAACTGAAGCATACGTTTTCTACTCACCACAGATGGAACCCACTGCCACAATAACTCCAGCCCAACTGTAACCTCGACGGAAAAAAGCATCTGCCAGAGCTGAGTTGGGGTCCAGCGTATGCCAGGGAACCATTAATGTAAGCACTGTGGACACCAGGATGTAGGCTGTTGCTGCCAGTCCAAGGGATATTGCTGTGGCAATGGGAACAGCCTTTTGTGGATTCTTGGCCTCCTCGCTAGAGGAGGCAATCACATCAAAACCTACAAATGCGTAGAAGCACGTGGCTGAGCCTGCCAAGATTCCGGACCATCCAAAAGGTGCAAACCCTCCTTCCTTCTGGCTCCAATTAGCCGGTTCAGCCAACATAAATCCAAAGACTAGAATAAAAACTACAACACACATACTGATAGTGGAAAATATATGATTAAGATAGGAGGACACTTGAACTCCGAAGGAAATAAAAAGTGAGGCAACCAGTAGAATCCCTGCTGCAAGCATATCAGGGTATTGGGCAAGGAAGGGCACATCCCACCTCATTATGTGGGATTCAGTAAAGTTCTGGATGGCATGGTTAAAAATTGCGTCCAAATAGCCACTCCATGCCCGTGCCACAGCAGCACCACCAATCATATTCTCCAGAATCACATTCCAACCTATCAAAAAGGCCCAGACCTCTCCCACTGAGACATAGGTAAACATGTACGCTGATCCGGTTTTGGGAATTCGTGCTCCAAACTCTGCGTAGCAAAAAGCAGCTAACAAAGAGGCAAAACCTGCAAAAATGAAGGACACAATGACAGCAGGCCCAACTGTGTCTTTGGCCACTGTCCCGGTCAGGACATACAGGCCAGAGCCCACCATGCCACCCAGACCCAACAGAGTCAGGTCCAGGGTGGAGAGGCAGCGTTTCAGTGACGTGGTCATCATGTCGTCATCGAGCGTCTTCAACCGGTTCACCCTCTGACAAAGGCGCACAGCTGGTGTGCAGCCTCGCTGACAAGAATCCATAGTTACCGAGTTAGATGGGCAAACGGGGTAGCAAAATGGAGGAAGGAGTCACACTCGATCCATTACTGTCCCAGGAAGCTCACCTGGAAAACATAATACAAGCCCAATAAAAATCATGTTATTGACTGCAGGTCAGGTTTGTTAGAGTTTTATTGTACATTGACCCAATTTTCAGTACTGGTCGGCCACAGAATTGATGCTGCCCAAGGATGGGTCTACACAATAGGGCTGTTTTGGTCCCAATTTTGCCTGCTCCCGACCAAGGATGTCCAAAGCCCGACAATGTCTATTAGGTTGTCCTACTTTGTATAAATCAAGTCAGATTGGCCACTCGGAATCCATTACAGCCTGGTCATCCTTGAAGGTAGATTCACCTGGTTACTTTCTCAAGGATTCCCCGCCCACGCAAAGGGAGGTTTGCAGTTTTTGCCTTGTCTGGTTTTGGGGTTTCAGCAGGGGATGTTGCTAATATTCCTCAACTGTGGGCTTTTGAAGCCCTTTGAGGCCCAGCAATCTTAAGTATTAAACGTGTTCAATATTTACAAACAAAAATCTTTGTGTGTGGGGAAAGCTGATTATTCCAAGTCATTTGACTCTGTGGACTGTGTTGTGAACGGAATGTTGCCAATCAAAGAAGTGGCAGGAAATCATTTGACAGTCTTGCTTCTCTATATTATCATACCTAGATTAAATAAGGTGGGAAACTTAAATAAATAAATAGAAACAATATCCTTCCGTTTTTTGGATCCGCTTATCCTCATAAGGGTCACGGGCGTGGCGGAGCCTATCCCAGCCGTCTTCAGGCAGTAGGCGGGGCACACCCTGAACTGGTTGCAAGCCAATCGCAGGACACACATAGATGAACAACCATTCACACAGTCACCCCTAGGGAAAATTTAAAGTATCCAATGAAACTACCCTGCAAGTTTTTGGATTTTGGGAAGAGACGGAGTACCGGGAGAAAACCCACACAGGCACAGGAAGAACATGCAAACTCCACACAGGAAGGATTCGAACCCTTAATCTGTGTAATGTGAGGTCCGTGTGCTAACCAGTCATCCACTGTATTCAATTTTCATTTTGTTTCAGCGTCAGAGGGAAGGGTTAGTTAAACTATGCTAAAAATAAAAACTGGTATATGTCTAATTTAACCAGTCTTGACTCAACCATAATCATGCAGACAAATATGAGAGCCCAACAAATTTTCATTTTGTGGAGTCATTATAAACCGAATAACCTTTCTGCTCAAAACAAGGTGAACAAATATTTGTCCCCCCGCCCCCTTTTGGCGCTGTTAATGGATCTGCGTAGGAAACCAGTTGGCACGCCCATACATTGAAAGTTAAATTACCAAATTATACGAGGCCGTAGCGTTGTGCAAACAATTTCAATAGCATGTTGATATAAATTCAACATGAGTGTAGCAAGGCGCCTGCACGCGAGGTTAAAGCACGTCATCATATTTACATAAAAACAAAAACAGATGCACGAATAAATATCACATTTTGTCATTTATTCTGACCACATTTACCAAGTCCAACCGTTCAGCCCGATTCTGTACGCATGAGGCGAGTGCGGGGAGGACAATGTTCGACTCCTGCGCTTCATAATGCATCCGGCGACAACATACAATTACGTAACGCTTCACTTTCCAACGCCAACAAGACATCTGCCATCACAACGAACCCCGGTACATCAGCGCACATATCCACGATAGACCGTTTATTACAAAAACGTCGTTTTAATGAAAAATTAATAATTCATAACAAGATGGAGACGGACGCAAAGAGGATTGCTTGTAGGGTAAGCTGAGTCCGAGATGAAAATGAGCGGTCCAACAATTCGTAAATCCAGTAAGGCCAACCTACAATGGAATTTATTATACATATATTTTTTGAGAGGGAATGTATTCAGAAATATGATTATAAAATGCATTTACCGCTTCCAATCTGCCAAAAGGCGCCCGCAGGTGTCAGATTCGGTGGGAGTTGATTGGAGTGAGATGGGGAAGAAGGCGAGCATCCTGAGTGAGGCGCGGTTTAAAGAGCCAGCCACCACAAAGTCATCACATGGCCCAAGTGAACAAGCATAAAAACACGGCGCCGGCTATTTATTCAGACTAGAGGAACAAATACAAATGATTTACAATTGAGAAGCGCTGGAATACAGCCTGCAAAACAAACAAACCCTGCTTCTTTCTGTTTTTCACGCTGATCCAAAAGTAAAGCAACGATGAGGCGATTACTTTTTTTTGTCAGTAGATATAACATTTCGTGGTATACAGTATTCACCTGGATCTTATAAACAACTTCATTTGAATCCTGCACCCATTACTCATGTGAGCAATATCTGACATCTGACGGGTGTGCTTGTCTACTCAGGCGTGTCCAGTTACATTGATTATGCAAACAAATACGTAGCATCAAATGAGTACCATTTACAGATATCCATGAAGCAACTGAGAACCTGAGAAAAGATGGAAAAATTGCACAAACATTGACGTGCGTGAAGCACAAACGAAATAGACTAGTTCCCACAAATTTTGTATGTTTTGGGGAAAACACAATTATTTTTCCACAATGACGTCACGCACTTTTACTTCCGGCTGGCAAAAGCTCAACCAATGAAAGGGGGGCGCAATGTGGCGACCCGAGTCGATGCATTTGTTGAGCTCGTGCATATTTATATTTATGTGATACCAGTTGTTTAAAATTATTTTTTTAGGGCTCATAAGCACTTAATTTTGAGGGGCACCTGTTTAAGGTCACCCATTTTTCCTGCAAGACATTGACCTGTGCTACAGAAGGATTGATTTGAATATCCGTCTTGAGAAGTTGCTAAATGTTCAGAGCATCTACCTTCAAAGTTAGGGTGATTTTTTCTCAGTATTTCAGAATTGTTATTTCAGACATTCAGTTTTTTTCCCCCATTTTTGTACGTTTTCTCAATGGCAGACTCGAACCTCTTTATAATTAATATTTCTCAAGGTTAGAGGTATCGGAGACAATACAAAGAGAAAATGTATTTTAATGTTTTGTAGACGGAAAGAGTTCACATTTATTAATTTTTTTGCAAGAGCCTCAATCAGAAAGTTGTGATGTGAAATTCTGGAAAGATCAACGGGGTGAGCAATGTTACTTCAGCCATGGCTCATCTCAGTCAGCAGGGGTCAGTATTTTATTTAATAAGACAATTGAATCTTTTCTTTTCAGATGGTCGGTGAATTATTTTGGTAATTAGAGGAGACAACTCTTTATTTGTCACAAAGTTGTATTTCTCTTAAGATTGGTCACACTGTAAAGACTGAGGGTAAAATATTATTACTTGTTTTGTATACAAAAATACAGACATTTGCACTATTGTTGGTCTTTTTATTTTGTTGGGGAAATTTCAGTAGGCAGGGTACACCCTGAACTGGGCAAACATCCATTCATACTCACAATCACACCTTGTGACAATTTAGATTGTTCCATTAGCCTGCCATGCATGTTTTGGGAATGTGGGAGGAAACCGCAGTACCCAGAGAAAACCCACATAGGCACGGGAGAACATGCAAACTCCACACAGGAAGGCCGGAGCCAGAACTGAACCCTGCACCTCTGCACCATGAAGTCGACGTGCTAACCAGTCGAACATGTCACCCGAGTAAACACACCCTTCTCGATCGTTTGACCAAGGTAGAACAATTGCGAAAACAGGATAAACGGCTTTTCATTTTAGCCTTCTTAACTGTCTACCCGTTACATATGGTGAATTGCTTCCAAGGGAGACGGAACTGTAGCTGTAATTTATGTTTTAACGGGAAACATAATAAATAAAATAATAAAAAAAGATGTGAGGGATAATGCTGGCGACCCAGCGGGTAGCGCGTCGACCTCACAGTGCAGAGGTCATGGGTTCGATCCCGACTCCGGCCTTCCTGTGTGGAGAACCCCCGCAACCTTTGTGAGGATAAAGCGGATTGGAAAATGGATGGATGGAATAATACTGCCAAATATGATTGAGGATCTGGCTAATTAATTTACCTTTCTGATTAATGACACAAACATGCCCTTTTGATGGTGAAAAAGCCCACAAAATATCTGATGTTATCTGGCAAACTAGCCATCAAGTTTTGCTAAATTACGCCAACAGATTTCAAGGGATTCAACATGCTCTGCTAAATTAAAAAAATAAAACACTAACAATCTTATTCCAATCACATTTATATGCAGCGTGCATAAAAAAAGAGAAAAACAAGTTGTCAAAAATATCTATTCTTCAAGTTGGTTGCATTTATACAAAAACTTAAAACAACAAAAATACACAAGAAGCAAATTGTAATCAAAGAAGTGCAGTGCATCTCAATTATTATTGAAATAAATACACAATCAAATTAAATCAAACAAAATCAGGCGCTGTCTCACATTTCCATGCTAAATTTAAAAACCTTAAAGCCGGAAGCAGACAGTGCAAGTCTTGTAGGTTTTTCTAAAGGCACCATAAGTTAACAAAAATCTAATGAACTATATGAAGGTCATATGACCAATTTCAGGAACATCTCCAATAGGGTGGTCCACATTTTCATGGCAAAAAAAAAAGTTTGTCGGATTCGTCGGGCCGGGTCGGAAATCTTGTCGATACTATGACACAAGGATGTGTGCAAAATTTCATTCCGATCTGATGATATTTTCCCGTCCCGCAAAGCGGCCAAAGTTTCCACCATAACAACTGGTCTCAATAGGGTGAACATGTGTATTTTAACCGTGTATTTTGCCATGCGTGACACTGGCTGGGCTGAATGTTGCCCGAACGATCACCTCCTGACTAACTAACCATTCCATCGCTGCTCTCAGCAGCCGGAGACAAACTCAAACGCACGCCTAACACACAACGGTCACCTACTGGCGAGCTAATATCTTTCAATTGAAGTCGAGAATCGCCGGAATTCTTACTGGACGCTGAGCTGAGGACGCTTTTCGACATCGAAAAAAAAAAAAAAAAA